ATATCAGGGAAACTTTTACCGGTTAACCAAACACACAGAAGAAAACTCCCTGTGAACTACACAGCCAATAGGAACACATACCACTGCTTGGTTGCTAAGCAACACCTCCATCCACCCCACTCATGGCTAGTTGACTTCAAAGTTGCTATTTGCACTTCCCTTAAGTTTATTTTATGTTAAAGTGAAAATGACTGACCACAGGTCTCCTGTGTCTTGCCAGTTTTGGCCTTCAATAATTATGCTAATAATTAGACAATGATTACATTTATAAAGTACACACACAATAATTACATTAATAATGCACTTGGTAATTATGTCCTAATTTACCTGGAGCTCTGTTTCCATAAGCATACCTCAGCAAGCTTTTCTGACTCCGTGTTACTCAATGATGTAAGGTGTCTAGTGATATCCCATGTGGTTTTAGAGAGGTCCGGAGGTAGAAACCCTCAAGAAATAGTAGAACAGTTATTTATGGAAGCCCTTTTTATTTCATTCTTTTAGCTTGGAAAAGAAGAACTTCTAAGGATTAGGATGAATCATGAGCATATATTTATTGGGTAACATTTTATTAATTTCCCAAAAATAACCACAAAAAAATTAAAAATTAAAAATAACAACACCAATGCGTAAAAGAAAAGAACAAAAAAAATAAACATTTTTTTTAAAAAAAACAACAACAACCACAACACCATGATTTTGCTTGACTTCCCTCCACTCCCCCTCTTGGTTCCATTGTTTAATGCTCGTTCATGCACATCCTTAAGGCCTTATATTCTTAATAATCCAATTTTAAACCTTCCTCATCTTATTACAAGTGACTTTTTTAAAAGTTATACTAATGTAATAATCTATACACAAAGCTTAAAAGATATGCATTAAACATTTGCCCCTTTTAATGGATGAATTACCGTAGGTAAAGGTAAAGGTACCCCTGACCGTTAGGTTCAGTCGCGGACGACTCTGGGGTTGCGCGCTTATCTTGTTCTATAGGCTGATGGAGCTGGCGTTTGTCCGCAGACAGCTTCCGGGTCATGTGGCCAGCATCACTAAGCCACTTCTGGCGAACCAGAGCAGCGCACGGAAACACCGTTTACCTTCCCGCTGGAGCGGTACCTATTTATCTACTTGCACTTTGACATGCTTTTGAACTGCTAGGTTGTCAGGAGCAGGGACCAAGCAACGGGAGCTCACCCCATCGCGGGGATTCGAACCACCGACCTTCCGATCGGCAAGCCCTAGGCTCTGTGATTTAGGCCACAGCGCCACCCGCGTCCCAATGGATGAATTACAAGCATATTAATAAGTGTTCTACAAAAGGGAAGTGGCATGTCAAGTAGGGTTAAAGAATTAACAACCCCAGCACTGGCTATGCCATTAGGCAGCATGAGGTGGTTGCCTTAGGCAGCTGATGCTGGGGATGGTGATGTGGAGTTGAAGGAAAAAGCTCTGCGAGACAAGCGGCCTGCATCCCTTTATGTAGCTTGCTGTCCTTAGGTGTGGTGAAGAATACTGTACCATCACCAGTGCTGAAGTAAGATTCAGCATCCATTACGGTCGGTTTCTGTAGGTGGAATGAGGTGCAGGGTGCCATTTTGTCCTTCGGCTCAAGCAGCAAACCATGTTGGGCTGCATTCATAACCACACACATTTAAAGCACTATGATGCCCCTTTAAACATTCATGGTTCCCCCCAAATGATTGTGGGAGCTGTAGTTTGTGAGGGTGGCAATAGTTATTAGGGAACCACAATTCCCCTCAAAGAGTTGCAATGTTCAGAGTGGTTCAACAATCAATTGCGCTTCTCAGGGAAATCTGGGAATTGTAGCTCAAAACAACTCTCAGCATGTTTAACATCCAAAAGCTCCCAGAATGCTTTAGGGGAAGCCATGACTGTTTACAGTGGTATTTTAGGGATTGAAATGTATGTGGCCTTGGGCTGACTGTGAATAACTCTCCCTACCCCTCACAACACATTATTTATTTAGATCCCCAAAGAGAAATCGGTTTCATTACTGTTTATTGTATTTAGTTTGTTACTCCTGTTTTTAAGACTTTTCGTTTCTTTGTTGCAGGAATATATATATATATATATATATATATATATATATATATATGAGTTTATTTGCTAAAAAATTAAATTGTTTGTGGGAGTCAGACAAATCAAATAACCTTCAGGAGATACTTATCTGCTGACAAAGGTTTTAGTGTTGATATTTTATGTTTAAAGGAAAAGCAGGGAAAAGGGAACCCTTTACGTGTGTGTGTGTGTGTGTGTGTGTGTGTGTGTGTGCGTGCACTCCCCCTCCTATAGTGGTTCTCTAGTGGTCTTTTCATTCAACAAAGTTATCTGTCAAGAAGAATTTAAGTTTCATATTTTCGTCTGTCAGTTGTCAAAAAGGCCTGTCAGCTGAGCCTTACACTATACTTTGCCAAGAGGCCTATAGCCCAGAGTGACAATACAATCTTATATTTGTGCTTCCAGGCTCCAGATAATCCTCTCACTTTCCTCCTCAGCACCCCAGTTATGATCAGGCTTAAGTTGCATATTTCGGGAGGTTTTTATCCAGATTTTGCTGATAAATGCTATCAGCGGGAATGAAATGAAATACAGCCAAGTTTAGCTCTTGTTACCAGACCAGACCTGGCTGGAGACATTTCTATGTTCTATAGAGACAGTATTCATATTAAACAGTTTAATGCCTATATTCCCAGAAACGAAAAACCAGGAATGCAAATATTCTCTTTTATCTACCCTTGTCATTTTGCCAAGTCCAAAACAGACAAGCATGTAAATAAATATATAAATGGGAATTCTTAATTTTTTAATGGCCGTTTCCCCAGTGTGTTTCCTTCACCAGATTTATGTTCTCATATATAAGAGAACGTAACAATACACAATGCATCATTTGGGTTTTAAAATCATATCCCTTTTGTGAAAGTCAATGAGTCTTTATGGAGCTTTGCAAAGTGCGCTTTTAAAATAGGACTCTCAATTTCTCTGTGATGGTGATAAAAAAGGGGGAGTAACCATAACCTTCCAGGCTAGGCACGTGATTATTTTTAATACATGTCTATTTTTAAAATAGATTACCCCATTGCAATTCCATTTTGAGGGAGGGATGGGAGCTCTGTAGTAGAGCACATCCTTTGTAAGCAGAAGGTCTCAGGTCAACCCCCGAAAAAGAATCCAGTAGTATCAAGTAGGGATGGGGAAGAAATTCCATTAGTGGAGCAGTATTCAGTAGCCTCTTCCCCTGGGAAAGTTCCAGAAGTCAGTCTGGAAGAGGAGGCCGAGAGGAGTTGTTCCATAGGAGTTCAGAGTTCATTTTAAGCTTGTTTTCAAAAGTTAACAGATTTATCCGGGTTCCTGATTCTAGCACCAGATATTGTTGGGGGATGCAGCATAGAATACGTACAAGGAACTGTAAGTTTTATACCCTGATCAGAACATGTGCTTGGCACTTTGAAATCTCTTGAACCATATAGTTCAATCATTTGACCAAGGTGAAGCTCTCTTTATTCCAAAAGCCTTTAGGAACTGACTGGAAAGGGTTAGTGCTGTGATCGTTGTTGTTATCTGTATTTTTCAATAGCTCTTTTTATGTTGTTTAATAATTGCTTTCATTCCGTTAGTGCTTAATTACTTTTTAATGACCATCTTCTCTATGTTTTTTTGCTTTTTCTGTTTTATTGGCAAGCCACCTTGAGTCCTGGCCTAAAGGGGGAAATGGGATATAAATAAATATAATATTAATCATCTTCAAATTGCTTCCCACCCTTCTTTCCTTTGTCCAGTGCTGAATATGCTGTACAACCCTGCTTGATATATATTCTCTCATCTATCTATCTATTATCCATCATCTATCTAATGTTTTCTTCACTGTATGGGCTAGTGCAACCATGGATGGGAGGCCCACTGTCCAGATTAGACTGAACCTGCTTACAGTTGATGAATAATGATTACATATTGATGAGGCATGGCAACACAGATGCAAGGCCTCTCTGGCAGCACTACAAAAGTAAGGGAGAGCAAGAATATCTCCCTTTCTCTTTTGGAAGCTTTTAGCAACTTCTTGCCATCTGTACCAGATGGAGGTTTGCGGCATTTTGTGCTGCTGTCACACCTAAGATGAGCCGGGTGTTTTGTTTTTTCCCTTGGCTGTAAAGGCATGCAGCTCCTGCTAAGGAAATTTGACATAGGCTCCCCTGCTCCACACACACTCCCAGACTGCTTAGGAATTACGAACAACTCCATCCACACTGCATCCTTTTGCTAGAATAGTGCATGGATTTTCCTACTAATAAAATTTATAGCTGCTACAAACGCCAAAAGTATTATTTTGGATTCCGGCCTAGATGCCCTTACCCTGTTAGAACAAAGCTTTTGTTTGGGGCAGGACACGATCTGCAGTTACCATATATTCAAATTCAGTAAACATGTGTTTTTTGTAATAAGGCCAAAAACCTGTTTGCTACAGTTCTCACTCAATCAAGTCCTCTTTTAAGAATCCAGCAATATATGAGAGCTGCTTATGTTTATCTGGGCACAGCAACATTGCTCTGTTTCTTCTGTAATTATAATTACACTCTCATTTTCTAACTCAATAAATACCACATCTTGAGACTTCTTTCCCATTTAAATCGGTGTTTATTTACACTATTTCAACTATCCACCTCTGGAAAAGCTACAGGTTCATTGCATTTGGAAAGGATTTATTTATAAACTGCAAGCGTACAATTAAATAAGCGGTAGGGAGTTGTTAAATTATAGCACATGAATAGGAATTAAAACCATAGGCCTTTAATTGTTAAATATTCCTAGTATCTTGTAAACGATGGTCAGGTTTCTTTAAAAAAGGCAAAACAAAATTTAAAAACGAATAATGGATTTTAATGATGCAGTCCTCAGAACTGTCATGTGATTGCTTACACATGACTCTTGGAATGTTATAAATTGCTGTGTACAGGCAATATACTTCAGGGCTGTGTATGAACAGGGATGGTGCTGTAGTTCAGTGGTCAAACCATCTGTTTTGCTTGCAGTAGGTCCCAGATTCAATCTCTGGCATCTCCTGGTAGGCCTGGGGATGTCTCCTGTCAGAAACCCTGGAAGGTCGCTGCTGTCGGTTAGTGTGGACAAGCAAGATGAGCCATGCCTCACCTATTCAAAACATGAACAGGAGTCCACATGGTTTGGGATCTTCTTCAAAATGACCTGTCTCTTCTGTCAACGCTTATTTTCACTTGATATTTTTCCTTCCCCTACCTTCGCTCTCCTACATTTTACATGATATATTTAAATCATCAGACAGTGGTTGGTGACACTATTTTGTATTTTAAAAGCAATTGCTTCTTTTTCAACTGAAAATCTGCCCTATGGAGGATGGGAGGTGAGTTTCATGACATCACGGAAGCTCAGCCAATCAGCACATACTGACCGCAGCATTAAGTTTGACTAGTCCAGTAACTGCTTCTAATTTTGTTATGTGAAATGTTCAACTGCGATGATTTGGTTGAGGCTAGGGCCCCATCTGCACTGCACATTTAAAGCAGTATGATACACTTTAAACAGTTTTGGATTTCCACAAAGAATCCTGGAGCTTTAATTTGTTAAGGGTGCTGGCATTTGCTTGTATTTATAAATATAGAGTTGAATTCGGACAGTGAGTTGTATCTAAAGTGGTGATAAGTCACTTAGAGGTATACTTGCTCCACTAGTGCACTGATTTGCACCTGCAGGGAATGCACAAACAAACTACCAGTGAATTTGTTGCATGATAGATTGGGCAATTTGTTATGCAAGAAATTTCCAGTAGTGCAACTGTTGCATTCGATTCCTCCATTCAGCAACACTGAAACTCATCTGCCTGCTACTTCAGCAAAGAACACAGGATACAGCTCTAAGTTAGTTGCATTTGGGTCCTACTGAAATCAATGTGAAAAGCTGGTAGTAGCTTAAATTCCATCGATTTCAAAGGAAACTAAGTGCAGCTAACTTAGACTGCAATCCTAAACAAATTTACTAGGGAGCAAACCCCACTGAACATAGTGGGACTGCTTTCTGAGCAAGCATTCTTATTCGTATTCTTATTATTTTACTGTCGTTAATTTATTAATCACTTTTTAGACAGTCATCTCAAGGCGGTGTACAATAAAAACATTTTTTAAAACCCACTTAAAAAGTAAAAAAAGAAAAATCAGCTACATTTAAAATAAGATGAAAACCATACAAAATAGATGCTGCTGGCAAAACCCAATTTATCCACTTGGGAAAGACTGTCAGAACAAAAATGCCCTCAGTTGTTTCTGGAAAGTGCAGATAGTTGGCACCTGTTGTATCTCGGCAGAAATACTGTTCCACTCAACAAGGGCAGCCATACTAAAAGCCCTGCTCTGATTTACTGCAGAGTGGACTTCTGAGATATTTGGAACTTGCAGGAGAAGCTCTTTTGCATGCTGCATGAACTGCATGAACCCGCTGGGTCACAGGATATGGTGGTCTCTTGAGGTACCTGGCCCTGAGCTGTATAGGGATTTATATGTTACTACCAACAACTTTGAGACGCGGGTGGCGCTGTGGGTTAAACCACAGAGCCTAGGACTTGCCGATCAGAAGGTTGGCTGTTCAAATCCCCGTGATGGGGTGAGCTCCCGATGCTCGGTCCCTGCTCCTGCCTACCTAGCAGTTCGAAAGCACGTCAGAGTACAAGTAGATAAATAGGTACCACTCCGGCGGGAAGGTAAGCAGTGTTTCTGTGCGTTGCTCTGGTTCGCCAGAAGCGACTTAGTCATGCTGGCCACATGACCCAGAAGCTGTATGCCGGCTCCCTCAGCCAATAAAGCGAGATGAGTGCCGCAACCCCAGAGTCGGTCACGACTGGACCTAATGGTCAGGGGTCCCTTTACCTTTACCTTTTACCAACACCTTAAATTTGGCCTGGTAGCAGATTGACAGCGAGTGCAAATCCTGAAAACAGGCTGTCGTATGCTGGTGGTGATTTGCCCCCACAATCAGCTTGGCCCCCACATTCTGCATCTGCTGCAGCCTCCAGGCCAACTTCAAAGGTAGCTCCACATAGAGTGTATTGCAGTAATCTAGTTGTGAAGTTACCAATGCATGGAGAATTGTGGTCAAGCTCTCCTGATCCAGGAAAGGCCATAGCCGTCTTACCAGCGAAAGTTAGTAAAAGGCACTCCTAGCCACTGAAGGCTCCTCCAGCTACAGTTAGTTCCAAGAGCATCTCCAAACTACACACTTGCTCCTTCAGGGAGAGTGCAGTCCCCTATAGGGCTGCAGTGCCATAGACAGAGCAGGCACTGGCCTATGGGCCCCACACCTTTTAGGGGCCCCCTGACAACAGATCAAAATAATATGTTTTTTTCTTTCAAGATCAAATATAGATATAATTTGCAAGCCCCCACCCCACCCCGAGATCTCGACTGCCTAGGGGCCTCCACAGAGTTTAATTATGGGACTGTAAAGGTAAAGGGACCCCTGACCATTAGGTCCAGTCGTGGCCAACTCTGGGGTTGCGGCGCTCATCTCACTTTACTGGCTGAGGGAGCTGGCGTACAGCTTCTGGGTCATGTGGCCAACATGACTAAGCCGCTTCTGGCGAACCAGAGCAGCGCATGGAAACGCCGTTTACCTTCCCCCTGGAGCGGTACCTATTTATCTACTTGCACTTTGATGTGCTTTCGAACTGCTAGGTTGGCAGGAGCTGGGACCCAGCAACGGGAGCTCACCCCGTTGCGGGGATTCGAACCGCTGACCTTCTGATCGGCAAGTCCTAGGCTCTGTTGTTTAACCCACAGTGCCACCCGCGTCCCTACTTATGGGACTGTAGGGCCAGCAATTTACCAGCTTCCCAGACCTTGCTCACAGAGCCTGTGCCTTGCTAGGTTTCAGACTCGGTTTATTGGCCCTTGTCCAGCCCACCATTGCATCCAGACACTGGTCTAGAGTCTTGTAAGCCATTTCTGATGCTCAAGCCAGGGGACCATTGAGTAGCACTCATCTATGCATACATCTAGATCCAACTAATAGGTTCTACATTTGTATGCAATCAGGAAAACCAAGTAAAATCAAGGCATAAAACTCTATAGATGTGGGTTTTGGGGAATAAATAGCTTGACATTTCCAGTTTGAATACTAGTCTGCATCTATAGAGTTTACGCCTTGGTTTGGGTCTGTTTTCCTGATTCTGAGTAAATATTCAAATTGGAAATGTCAAACTATTTATCCCAAACGAGACGCAGTTCGGAACCAATTCACAGATGCAAAAATAAATAAAGTGATTGACTTTTTGTGTGTGTGGCTTACCTCTAAAGTACTGGATAAGCCATTCCCATGAATCACACAGGGAACAGATCATTCAAATGCTGGCTTTAAAATCTTCAAAATACTTTGGGTCATGTGAAGTACATTACAGTTCACCATTGGTATATTTCACTTCTCTGGGGGCAGATAGAGAAATAAACAAAAAAGTCCTATGCACACAAATAGTAATATATTTCCAACACTCATTATGGCCTATTCAGGGGGAACTGCTGTACTGATAACTCCAGCTATATTCCCTCATCTGCCAGTTGACCTGGAAAGGCTTAGAGAACTGAGTTTAATGTAACTCATTCTAAAGAGGTATTTAAAAAAAAAAAAATCTGCGGGGGCTTCCCCCCCTCCATGAGACACCTATAGAAAAGAAAAGGGATTTCCCCTTACGCCAATTAAAAATAAAACCTCACCTCTTCTTTCTTCCCCCTCAAGAAGTTAACCCCTGCTGAGCTTTCCCCCAAGGCGTCTACAAAGCCACACAGGTGAGGCTGCTGCAGCTTTAATGAGAAAGAATCAGCTCTGATTTTCTGGGAGATAAACACAAATCTTTTATTCCAGCCACCTGGTCTTTGACCTAACCAAGAAGAAAACACAGCTTAGGACTGCCTGCAGAACTGTATAGCTGGAGAATGGTTCTTGGAAGGGTGTCCTCCCCCCTTTTTTTTAAATCCCTGAAAACAAATGCAAAGTCTGAAACACACAAAATACTTTTGCTCTCTGTTGTTGTTAATGCAGAGTAAAGTATATTTTCATTCCCTGAAGGATTCCTCCCAGATACAAGCCACCTTCTAGTATACAAGACATCTATCTTAAGAGTTGGGAGTTCTCTATGCATCTGAACATTATCAAATCAATTATTTGTGGGCTGCCTCTTCCCACATCATTGCCGCCAGCTTCCCATGCCCGCTTGGGTTTTTGCTTTCCAGAAATGGATATAGATATAGGAAGGAGACCATAAGTATGCCACCATGTTATTTATTGCTTGCTGCTTGTCTTTGACCATAGGAGCCACCTCCTAGAGGCTGAGGGGGCTTTGCCTCCTCCAATAAAATATTTGAGGGGGCTGGCCCCCCCAAAGTTAAGGGATATTGCTATTCAAATGGTGTGTGTGCACTGTGACATGTGATTGATTATGTGGGGTGGGGCTTAATTGCCCCCCCCCCCCAATATTTTATTCAAGTTGGCACCCCTGTCTTTGACTAAAAGGGGGAGGAGGGTAGGGAAGAGGGAAGGGAAATTGTGTCTTCATCAGAGATAAAAACCACCGTTTTGACCAAATAACATGCAACAATCCTAGCGCTGGGTTGTTGTTATGCTACATAATGTTTTCTTTGGTATTCAACACACTCTCTGAAATTCATTTGATGGCTTAATCGCTTAGGTCCTGGCATGGATCCAAAGAAGAGACATGCAAGCAGACAAGAGAATTCTCCATGAGCAAAGCTTGGGCTCCAGACACTGACTTCCCACAAATAGTTCCTGCTCCCTGTCAAAGAGACAAACCTCTCTAAAAGAATGGTGATAATGTGGCTTGCCTCTTCACTCCTGCCACTGTGCAAAGAGCTGCATTTGGTCCTTTCTCTGTGGCTGCCTACTACCATACAGTGGTACCTCGCAAGACGAATGCCTCGCAAGACAGAAAACTCGCAAAACGAAAGGGTTTTTGGTTTTTTGAGTTGCTTCGCAAGACGATTTTCCCTATGGGCTTGCTTCGCAAGACGGAAATGTCTTGCAAGTTT